AGACGTGGTAAAACCACTTTCTACTTGGATGGAGCGCATACTCCTAAAAGTATAGAAGTGAGCTTTTTACGTTTATCAATTTTCGCTACTCTCTCCTCATGTACCGAGAGCAAGCAACCCTATTTGCATTCCAGGATCAGTAATTTTTCCGAATTAACTCCCTTATTACAGCAATTTTCAGTGTTGTATAAAATGGTTTCTTGGGGAAGAGCAGAGCCGGAGCAATGCACGGAAACGTATCCCAGTTCAAATATTACTATTTCACTGTACCGGGAACAGAGACCCTACAACATTTTTACCTGAACTAAAGGTAAAGTTCCTCGAAGTAAGTATGATTTTTCGAGAATTCTATCAGAATGCTTGCCCATAGACTCTGACATAAAATATCTGCATAGTAAAAATATATGTATGCGTGCTGTAGAGGTCCAACTGCAAGATGCGCACTTGATTTCGTAACAACTTGATGCATGTGATTAGCTTGTATGTGTTTGTGTGGTGGATCTACGGGAACCAGGTCAATAATAGGAAATACTTTACTGAAAAGGGTTGCATGGCCACAAAGATGCCCGAACGGGCTATCAGGCGAATCGCTATCAAACAAAACAATACTCGCAAGAAATACCAGCCTAAGTTCTTAACTTAGCAAACGGTGCCCTTGTGGGGCCGTGCGCAGACAAAAGAAACAAATACTGAAGTCACGAAAGCGTAGTGTCGGACGGAATCACTGGATACAAAGAGACGGACGAGCGGACGATGTCGAGAGCTAGATCCCGACTGCCATTGTGGCGTGCTTATATACACCTGCAAAGGAATTTCCATTATCATCCAGGACAGTTTTTTACATTCCGCGATATGGGAGTGGAATGTTCCTTACGTTTATGGTTAAGCTAGTTTTTCTACCTCCCGATCTGGGAACATGGTCCCAGATCTACGGGAAGATATTTCCCGACCGAGTTTTTGCGTTATGTTTTGACTTCGCTCATTACATGACGCCGAAACATTTGCTTACAATGCTTCGCCTAAAAAAAGATCCTGATAGGATCTTTTAAATAATATTTTATAATATTTATTCTTTTATTAATATATTTTCTAAATATTTTGTGTTTTGTCCCCTTGTCCTTTACAGCATTAAATAAAATGGTAATGGTTGCGATTATGCGATTGTTAACAATAATCGTGATTTTTATGCGTTTTTGCTGTGCAGCGCTATAGCGCTGCTACAGCCAGCAAAAACGCATATT